AATGTTGCTACAATTTTAACTTATATCCGATATCACAAGACCAACTTTACTGTCGATCATACATTGTAGGTAATATCTTCCAATTTACTGATGTAAAAAATCAGATGTTATACAGCATATTACTATTGGTACCTGGGGACCGATGTGTTTTGTAAAATCGAATTTTTTCGTAAAAGATGTAAAAAATGCGTTTTTTTTTCAGAAAATACCAGGTGTATTTTACAATGTGTACATTTTACAAAGTACATGTATGTATACATGCACACCGATAAACTATGTATGACCTTGAGTGACAGTAAAAAATGGGTGAGCGTAACCTATAAGCGCGGTTGAAGTAAAACTTTTTTGGCAAATATCACAAATAAGTGAAAATAAATCAATAATCAAATAAGGCATATTAGGCATATTACAATCATATATTTATAGAATGTAATTTACAGAAAGAATATAATATAATATGTTTGTCAGACAATAACAACGTTTACCTTGGCAACATGGCAATGTATTCTATCTCATTCTCTCACCGGCTTAATCCTATATATTTATATGTTTGTCTCTTTTTAGTGTCACATTTCCGTTTCATCGAGTTTCAAATCACAACGATTCTAAAGAAGTTTCACTTCAATAAAAAAAATCTTAAATTAGCTTTTAGAATTCGTTCTGGACACATTCCCCTTAACTATTTTGCATTTACAATGAAAAAGGTTTCATCTCCTTTGTGTGTAGTGTGTGGAAAAAATGAAGATGTTTATCACGTTTTGATGGAATGTGTTCGGAATGAATCGTTTAGAAGGCATATATTTGCTTAAAATGATATGAATATTGGAATTTGCAATAGTATGTTAACATGTCCTCATTCAAGTTCCGCTAAAAGTGTGTATAAATTAGTAAAGTTAGGCTTAAAAAACAGATAATTGTTTGATTATATAAATAATTGTAGTATACCTAAAAGGTTTTTTTTTTTAAGTGCTTGCATTTATTGTTATTAGTTATAGTTCTAACCTTAATACATAATTATGTGTTCAGGAGTTAAAATTTGTTATGTAGCATGTAAGAAGTCCGAACAGGGCGACATGTTTCTTTTTTGTGAACAAGTTCTTTAAATAAAGAGGAAAAAAAAAAGAAAAAAAATCTAAAAATTGTTAAACCAAAGACGAATATATATGAAAAGAAAAGTCAATATTTTTGTATCAAGTCAGAAAAGGCAGGTGCCTTTTATTTTATTAGGGACGTACCCAAAGAAGCGATAGCTAGTCACTAACTTTAATATTATATAGAGGGGAAGGTTTGTAAGTTAATCTAAATATTTGTATAGATCATAACTAAAATATAAACATTAAACATATTCTTTTTAAGATATAAAATAAATACAAAAGTTAAACTTCGCGTACTTGTGCGAGAAATATTCTTTGTCAACAAGACACATAAGTAATTATTCCTTAAAAAGAAAAAGAAACGGCAAAGGATTTGAATGCAATGAAGCCCACATAAGCTCGAGCGACTAAGTAGTCTTCGCAACGCAAAACGTCTGTCTGTATGTATGTCTGTCTGTGGCATCGTAGCTCTCAAACGTATGGACCGATTTTGATGCGGTTTTTTTTCATTTGAGCGCCAGTTTCCTTGCGGTGGTTCTTAGCTATGTTTGGTTAATATCAGTCCAGCAGTGTAGAGTATCTTTTTTCCAAAATGATGTAAGGCATTTTAGCGTATGATTCCTCGATTAAGTGTTTCACGCGTGCCAATGTAATCGTTAAATGACAATTAATTTGCGTAGGTTTTAAAAAAAAATTATTTATAATATACGAAAGTATTCTTTTACAATACTTTCTTTTTCATATATATAATATAACATTTTTTTATGTTAAGCTTAAATTCTGATTTTTATTCTTTAAGAAATCATGAATCTTCTATATTATGTTATATTTTGTTTAAAAAAGTTGTCAATACGTCGCCGGCTTTAAGCTTAGGTAGCTAAAACCCAACTTTTGAATAACTTTATTCAAAAAACCGCTCAGGGATAACCTCAGGGGAATGATGGTTCATTATGAAGGATATAAATATATTTTTTTGAATTTTCGAATTTACCGTTGAGATTATATTATAGAATATGTAGAAAAAAATCACAGAATATGGCGGCCTATATTGGTCTGGTGTTTAAATTCCTAGAATATTTTTTAAACCGTATAATTTCTAGATAAAAAAAGAACATAGCCATTTCCTCAGATTGCGTTAATATTTTAATAATACAAAGTACCCTGGCGACCGAGCTCGGCCTCTTTCAGAGAAGATATAAAAATTAAAAATGGCATTTCTTCAGAAAAGACACCTATATAGAGAAACTTAAAAAGCAAACCTTATCTAAATACAAAATTGTTTCTAAATCGTTAGAGCCGTTTCGGAGATACACGAAGTAAATTTATATTATATACACAAGAGTAGGTATATACTAGCGACTCAACTTCGCTTCGCTCGGGTTCGTACCTAGTTACGTTATACCGGTTAGTAATCAATCAGTCACCCTGTTTCGACGTTAAAGAAGGACAAATAAACAAACACACTTTCACATTCATAATATTAGTATAGATATCTATACAGATAAATAAAATTGAAGTGTCTGTTTATAATGTCAAAATAACAGCGTTTTACTAAATTCATATGAAATTATATACGGCACTAATAAGAAAAGCACATTTTTTAAATGTGTGTCTGTCTGTTTGTTTCGGATAATCTCTGAAACGGCTGGACTGATTTTGACGGGACTTTTACTGGAAGATAGCTGATGTTATAGGGAGTAATATAGGCTACTTTTATTGTAGAAAAAGAATTAGGGGAACCCTAATTCTTTTATAATATTATTTATTAATTACGAACCGAGCGAAGCGAGGGTGAATCGTTAGTTGGATATAAATACAAGAATTGCTCATTGAATATTTTAAGATAAATGTTATTTAGAAAATATCTTATTTACTAAAACACACAATTGCGGCATCTTTTGCCTCTTCCATTATTCTCTCTTAAAGATATTTGAGATTATCAGAACCAATTAAGCTTTTAATGTAATACATTTCTGATTTCAGATACAATACCAACATAATCAATGCAACTTATCTTTTCTTTACTAGCATTAAAATAGAAATATATTTAAATATTTTTACAATGAAATAACATTTCTAAGAAATGACTGTGAAACCGCAAATATAAATATAAAAATAAAATCATACGTCTGACAGTTTTGAAACAATAAAAGCTAAATTAAAAATGAACAGTAAAGCAACCTACGGGGAAATCAGGGTCTTCATCTTCCTATCCATAGTTATTGCCATGGTGCGCCTTTCTCCTTTTCCTAGTTATTAAAAACATGCTACACATTTTGCTGTAGGTACGTGAGTAGGTAATATGTGAACGTAGGTATGTGACAATCGTCATGGTTTGATGAGATTTTATGTAAAGTAGTGTCCACCTAGTGGTAAAAATTTGACTATAACCTATATAATAAAATAGTAACAAAGCGAAATCTGTATCTATACTAATATTGTAAAGAGGTAAAGTTTGTGAGTTTGTGACGTTGTAGGGAGTAATCTCTGGATCTACAGAACCGATTTAGATGAAAATTGATAAGAAGATAGCTTGAGACCCTGGGAAGGACATAGGATACTTTTTATCACGGAAATCATTGCTTAAAGTGGTGAAAATGTGGATGAAAGTTTGTATGGGGTATCAAGTATGAAGTATTTTTTTAAACATTCCCACGGAAAAACACAATAACTGGTTCTATCGAGTCTGACTAACTGCTATCAATAAAGTGCTAAATAAACCTTAAAAGATACATAAAAAATGTAATAATATACTAAAAATTGTAGGTCTTAAAACTGTCTATAGAAAAGTCTACAACAGCATAGGTATGTCTATCTCCTAAGGTACACTCGCAATAACCAATTTTATTTATATAAAACGTACTTAGGCACGCGCCCGAGCGAAGTGAGGGTAATTCGCTAGTCTATACATATAATAAAATTCTAACTAAGTCGAATCTGTACATTAAATATTTTTTGGAAAATCTTATTGAAATAGACATTATTATCGATACAGATGCCGAATCTATAGTTTTTAGAATTTTTGACTGTCTGTCTGTCTGTCTGTTACCGCATCACAGAAAAATCACTGGAGGGATTTTGATGAAATTTGGCATGGTGATAGCTGGTTAGCCGGGTCAACATATAGGATACTTTCTACCGCGGGAAAATATCTCATTTCTGAGAAAAAATACAAAAACTGCATTGTAAGAGTATACTAATATGTAAAACCTAAGAATTTGGTTTTTAGTCATCTGAACGCGTGCGGAGCCGCGGGCAATGCTAGTAGTAAATAATTTACAATTAGATTAACATATAAGACGATAAATAAAATTTTATTGAATAAAAATTATATGTATTTATATTTAATTAATTACATTTATTAACTGTAGTTTTTAACGCTTTACGTACAACAATACCGTTTTCATAGTGATATATGCGGAACAATGGCACTATTAATTAACTTTATTATTATGAATACAATTCGGACATTAAAATGAATTAATTGATTATTAACCATTAATGAAATCAAATGAGGTTTCTGTTGAAAAACATTAATGAACATTCACGTACATATGTACATGATACATTCACATACATAATATCTGACAAACTGCCTCGGTGGTGTAGTGGCTAGCATGTACGGCTGCACACCCGGAGGTCCTGGGTTCGAGTCCCGGGTCGGGCCAAGTTTAGTTATTGAGTCTTCCTGTATAGTAAGTCTCAGTAACAGCCCGGAGTTGGGAAGTTGGCGGTGTTTCACCCCCGTGCCTCGGAGAGCACGTAAAGCCGTCGGTCCTGCGCCTTAACTCTTACCGGTCGTGTCGAGTGGTCGTCCCACCGGAATATGAGAGTGATAGGAATAGAGAGTGCACTTGTGTCTGCGCGTACACTTGAGCACTATAATATCTCCTGCGCAGTTGGCTAGTCTGATTGAGATTTGCCGCCGTGGCCGGAATCGGCTAGGAGAACATCATCATCATCATCATCATCATCTGACAAAAGATGAGGATAAAGAAATAGATGATGATGATGTTCTCCTGACCGATTCCGGCCACGGCGGCAAATCTCATTGAGACTAGCCAACTGCGCAGGAGATATTATAGTGCACAAGTGTACGCGCAGACACAACGTGCACTCTCTATTCCTGTCACTCTCATACTCCGGTGGGACACGACACGACCAGTGAGAGTTAAGGCGCAGGACCGGCGGCTTTACGTTCTCTCCGAGGCACGGGAAAAAGAAATAGAGGGATAATCTAAACATGATGTTATAACCTAGAGTTAGAGCCTAGATCAACATTATTTACATCGTCTTTGCACGATTAAACTATGTAAAAACACCATGATGAAATGAAGTCACGAAAAAATTTATAGTGAATCTTTTAGCGCTGTTTGTTATTTGTTGCTTGATATTATACAATGTACAAATCCCCTATATATAGATGTAAGGCGTTTTTAGGTACTAAACAAAATTAAGGGTATGTAGAAGCTGTCATAGAAATATTTATATTCTAAATAACGACTCACCATCACTTTGTTCGGATTCGACCCTAGGTACGTTTTAACGAATTTTACACTGCACCGCCATTTTAATAATATTTAAGTTTTAAAATCAAATATAGACGGCTGTATTCAACAAAATTAGAAGTGAAAATAGGCTTTCTTCGCGGATAAGTAACGTCTTATATGTGTATTTCTTTTTATTTCAAGAATATAAATATAACTTAATAATATACATACATTACGACAAAAGAGCGACAAAAACTGTTTAAAATAAAAAATTGAATTACACACATTTTGTACGAAATATATAAGGAAAAATCGCGCAGGAAAAATCTAGTTAATTAAACTTCAAGTGTACCATTAGTATCCACTTACTGCTTATGAACCAAATAAAATAAAATTATGTCATGGCGTGCAAATGAGGGTATGAATAAATTAATTTAAACAGAAATTGTTGCATATTCCATTTGTATAACAATATAAGGGTCGGATCTTGCAATTTATAATATGGTAATATTAAATGTGAACTGAAACTTAATCTAAAATATAAAGGACCTAATGATCCGGTCCCGCTTCTGTGAGGGTTCAGCTGAATAGGATATTATCGGTTCGTATAACCGATGAATCATACACCAAAGTGCGTAAACATATTTCTTAGAATAACAAATATTTAAGGACACAGCCTTCGATCAACAATATTGTTGATCGAAGGACACAGCAAAAGATAAATCTTAATTAACTCTTAATAGTATACGTAATTTGTTCAAATTTGTTTAATTGTGTTTACAAATAAAATACTGTACAATATAGGTACATGCAATATATTAATTTCAATAATATGTTCAATAATTTTAACCATGGCAGCCAATCTCATTGGAACTAGCCACCTGCGAGGGAGATACTCGAGATTCTTCGGGCTGTTACTGATAACTTTTAGAGAGAAAGAGCCAATGACTGTTCTCGACCCGAGACCCGAAGAACCTCCGGATCTGTAGCCACACATGCTAGCCACTAAGCCGACGATGCAGCCTCGTCATAAATAATATTAATTAAATTAATAAAAAATCGAATGCAAGCAAAATACAAGCTATGTATTACTCTTCTATAGCTACCAAGAGATCGGCCTTAATTAAAACAGCCTCCCAACAATATCCGCCGCGATCAATATTGGACTTAAACGTTAAGTGTTTCAAGTTACCAATTACTGCAATTTACATGAAGATGCTCTTTCTTTACACAGATTTATTTAATAGTGTAAGACGTTTGTATAGATCACCAGTGGCTCACCCTTGCTTCGTTCGGATTCGTTCCTAGTGAAAACGAAGCAAATCTATCCCACGGGAACCGTAATCTTTTCCTGACTATAATATATCACTGTACCAAATTTCATCCAGATACGTTCAGCTATTCTAGCGTGATTGAGTAACAAACATCCATCCACCCAAACTTACGCACTTTTACAGTAGTAAAATATCATAAAAACACTATTGTGAAACAATGAAACAATTTTCTTGTTATAATCGTTATATTGACAGTAATTAATAAAGTTTATAAACACAACAAAAAATAATACTTCCCCTCCAAACGTCAATCAAATATAGGTATTTCTCGTCTTACTTTTCCTGCCTGCCTGGCACCTACGTAGACGAACACCACAGAGGTTGTACGAAAGCGCTTGATGTCTTCGAATAAACTAGCGGCGCGTAACACTTATATAATTAATATTTCTTCATTTGAAAATTAAGTTAATGCTTAATATCTTTATCTGTTCTAGGTCTTTTTTTATAATTATACAAGACGTTAGTAGTTCACGTAGGTATAGAAGATTTATTTACATATATATGTATGTATGTTTGGAAATGATGTGTGTACATACTATAAATGTGAATGGATGTTAGTTTGCTTTTGCATCGATGTGTCTTTTTCATAAATAAAGTTCCAAATTTAGTTTAAGTAGTCTGTGGACTTTTAATATAAAAATAACTTTTTATAAGGTCTTATATTAAAATTTTCTATTATTCATATTTATTACTATATCAAACAAAATAAACCCAGATATCTATTCAAACATACATATATCCAAAACTTTTTACTACGCCTGAATAAGTCCTTTGATAAAATTAAAAATGCCATTTATATATAAGCCTTTGTAAATTAGCGCAGAACCGTGAAGCTTTGAAAGCTATCTATGGAAAGTTTTTATGAGATAATGCGTATTAAATATACTTTGCTCTAATTTTAACTAGGGAAATTAAATTTGGTCTAAATATCGCAATTCTGTTTTGTTTATAAAATTTAACTCCGACAATTTTTTTTGAAGAAATTCATGAAATGGGAGAAGCGAAAGAGATATGCGTATTTCATGGCTCTAAGCACTCTATCTATGTAACTTCCCTGCAATCTATACATATTATAATAAAATTGTAACTAAGCCGAATCTGTACATTAAATATTTTTTGGAAAATCTTTTTGATATAAACATTATTATCGATACAGAGGCCGAGTCTATAGTTTTTAGAATTTTTGTCTGTCTGTCTGTATCCGCATCACAGAAAAACCACTGGAGGGATTTGGATGAAGTTTGGTATGGTGATAGCTGGTTACCCGGGTCAACATATAGGGTACTTTTTACCGCGGGAAAATGTCTCATCTCTGAGAAAAAATACAAAAACTGCAATGTAAGAGTATGTAGGTATACTAATATGTAAAACCTAATTATTTGGTTTTTGGTCATCTGAACGCGGGCGGAGCCACGGGCAATGCTAGTATAGCATAAAACTATTTTTGATATATGTATCGAGTTTCGCGTAGTAAAATCTACTAAGCCCACCTATTTGGTTCTATAATTGTTATATGACGATAACTAAAGCAAGTCTTGGCATAAAATAATTTCCATCCTTAATAGGTCTAGCAATCCCTACTTCACTCTTATAGTATTTGTACTTTATTTTTCGCAAAATGTATAATTTTTACTATTGAAAAATATAATTAACTAGCGGACCCGACAGACGTTGTCCTGTCTACACGTCTTTAATTTGAAAATTTCAAACTTTTTTTAATAATTTTTTTGATGAAAATTATTATTCAAATTGTGAATCTAAACCATTCCCAGATCCCCTTGAACACACACAAAAAATTTCATCAAAATCGGTCCAGTCGTTTGAGAGAAGTTCAGTGACATACACACTCACAGAAGAATTATATATATAAAGATGTAAATACAATGTTTGAGCGAAATAAATCTAGAGGTGTTTGCCTAGAGCCTGATCTTATATGATCTATACACCCTTACATTTAAGTTACGGGAATCAAAATCTTGGGTGTACTAAGTTTTTCATATTTACATATAATTACAAATAATATTTTGCCTAATGTTAACTAAGCACAAGTGACCAGATTTCTATATAGCCACCAGCAACTATATGAATAATTTTTGTTTTTTTCATGTTTATAATCAAATAAAAAACCTCATCTAGAAGCAATATTGGCAACCATTTATTCGTATAAAAAGCCTGAAACAATGTAATTCGATGAGTTAAATGCAAAGAGGAATGCTTTAATCTGATCCTTTAAAAGGGTCAGCAATCCTACTCAGAAGCTTACGACGACAAATTCGACTTAATTGAATTATTTAGGCAAAAGTACTAAAAGAACTAACGTTTTCAGTCAAGTAGATGGTATTTTAAATATTGATACACATATTTTTATTTCTTTTTCATCAATTTCACAGATACATACATAATATATGTACATAGTATATAATTAAAATTATATTATATAATATATAATTAATATTTAAATATCTTATATTGAAATTTCTAATTCTAACTAGTTTTTTTTTACAAGTAGGTATATTTTAGCGTTTAATTTTGAGTATAGTACTATAGGAATAAAGGATTTGAACAATTATTTAACACAGCTTTTTAATAAAGTTTTTACAGCTTCAAGTTGGTACATCAACTAAAGACTCATTACAGATTTTAAGACACAAAACAAGCAATTGGTATTCTTGCTCCACGTCTAATTAATTATTATCTACGCGATAGCTTAGACAAGATATTGTTCTACAATCGTTAAAGAATAGAAATAGAATGACATGGTTTGACATTTGAATCTAATTTATAAAATGGCAACTTGTTTATACAAGCCTCCGTGTTTGAAATTATTATTTTGAAAATAATAAATTTAAATAATAATATTAGACTAAAAATTCCACACTTTTATCTACATAAATATTAATTCGCAGAAATAATTACAGTATTATAACGTTTTTAATATCATACACTTTGCGCTTTTTGAAAGAAAAGAATCAAATATGGCAAAGAGAGATATTGCAAAAGAATCAAATAAAAAAGTTTATACGCCATATGTAGGTCAAAGCTGGATCTCGAGTTTCAATTACACGATATCATGGGGTACAAAAATTTATCGACAATTTTTTCTTACTTGTTAACTGTCATCGATACGTGTTTTCCCTTGTACTCGTAGAATAAATATTCTTATATTGAATGCTAGGTATCAAATTTAGGTCTTTGCTAAAGAACAATAATAAAATTTCACAAATTATCTTAGATTTGTAAATGTATAAAACTTGATAACAGTTTTTGTAGATGAAAATGTGTGGAATTTATTATACGAGAAAATTAACGTCTACGCGTGATAACTATTATAAATTAACGTGAAACTAATTACTAATTACTGCTACGTGATAATGATTATTAATTGTAACTTGATATAGCTATATGAAAATTGTGCTGAAAATGCTGTAATATATAATTGATATTTAAAAAAAAACAATTTTATTAATTCACTAGTAACTCACCCTCGCTCCGCTCGAGTTTGTTCGTACGTTATGTTTTAACGTTTAGTGTAGATTTCTCAGAGATGAGATATTTTCCCGCAGTAAAAAATATCCTCTATATTGACCTAGATAACCAGCTACCATCATACCGAATTTAGTAGTTTTTCCGTGATGCGGTAACGGACAGACAGAAAGACAGACAGATACAAACAAAAATTCTATAGATTCGGCCTCTGTATCGATAATAATGTCTATTTCTATAAGATTTTCCAAAAAATATTTAATGTACAGATTCGGCTTAGTTACAATTTTATTATATGTATAGATTTAAATCTATATATACATAATAATAACATTAAATATACTACATCAAAGACAAACACATAATATGATATTTAGTTAAGAAAACTATGTAAAATTTTTCCATTTTCCTCAACTATATTCAAATGATAGAAAGAGAAAGTTCAAAAAATATTATTACTACGAAACCATTCATTTTTTGGTCTGAAAATGGCAGTTCCTACTTACTAAATATAAATACATACGAGTATGACCAAGATGTTCCAAAATGAGTACAACTTTCAATCAAATTATATCATTGAGTACTTTTTATCGCTAATTTTCCCAATTTTCTCTTGGCTTCAAGTTTCACCGATACGCCGGCTCATGTCGGAACCAAGTTTTGACGTTTATTTCATTAAACTTTACGCTACTGCTTCTTCATGATAACTTCCTTTGCCTATCATGTTGCCAATCGCAGGAGTGAATTAAATAATTATAAATACATTCTTACTAATACTTATAATTTTCTAGAATAGGTATGTTAGTCGTAGAAGATATAATACCTAAGTATTTTTTATTACTAGTGTTCGCCCAGTGGTTAAAAGTCGATCATCATCACAAAGCAACATTTTAATTACTTTATTTTTTATGACATTCTTTTACATACAAGAACTGTTTTAACCTACTTATCTATACATATAATAAAATTGTAACTAAGCCGAATCTGTACATTAAATATTTTTTGGAAAATCTTATTGAAATAGATATTATTATCGATTCAAAGGCAGAATGTATAGTTTTTAGAATTTTTGTCTGTCTGTTACCGCATCACAGAAAAACCACAGGAGGGATTTTGATGAAATTTGGTATGGTCATAGCTGGTTATCCGGGTCAACATATAGGATACTTTTTACCGCGGGAAAATTTCTCATTTTTGAGAAAAAATACAAAAACTGCAATGTAAGAGTATACTAATATATAAAACCTAATAATTTGGTTTTTGGTCATCTGGACGCAGGCGGAGTCGCGGGAAATGCTAGTGTATATAAATAAAACTGTTTCCCCAATCTTTTATTGATACCAGTTCGTACGAAAAAAAAGAAAATCGGTTGACAAACAGCGGAGAAAAAGGTACTGAACTGTTTTGTTTTTGCCTATTTTTATATAGATAATAGATTACTTTTTATTAAGAACAATACACCAAAATACTTAAAGGAGGTAATTCTTCCACACTTTTTTAATAAGTATGGAACCAGCTGGGACTTTGATATTACCTATTTATTATTATTTATTTTAAAAAAATAATTTGAAAATGCATTTACAATTGTTAAGTTTGTAGGTTTTGTAAATTCCTCAGTAGGTATAGTTAACAAAGGGTAATGTACTCATTAGCATCAAAAATTAAAACTACATTATAACTGCAAAACATGTAATGTAAACGGGTGGTTAATTTAACAGAGTATTGTAAACAGTGCACCAACGTACTCCGGGGTAATTCCTAATTAGCGAAATAGCTTACATGCATATATGTACATGTTTTGTTAGATCAAATATTTAACTTATAAGTCAAGAAGAGCTTTTGAATTATTTTTATTATAAATAATAAAACTGTTTAAGAATATTACGAGCAATATATATCAGCACATGTAGTTTATTTAATTGAAATTTATCTATAAATTATAATAGACCCGCTTCTAAGGGTTATATAGCATGATGCTATTACGAGTATATAAGTCCTTCTGACCCTTTTCGACCACGGCGGCCAATCTCACTGAGACTAGCCATCTGCGCAGGAGATAATATTATAGTACTCAAGTGTACGCGCACAAGTGCACTCTCTATTCCTGTCATTCTCATACTCTGGTAGGACGACTGCTCGACACAACCAGTGAGAGTTAAGGCGCAGGAATGACGGCTTTACGTGCTCTCCGAGGCACGGGGGTGACCACCACCAACTTCTCAACTCCGGGCTGTAACTGAGGCTTACTAAACAGAAAGACTCAATAAACTTGGCCCGACCCGGGACTCGGACCCAGGACCTCTGGATGTGCAGCGGTACATGCTAGCCACTAAACCACCGAGGCAGTTATAGACAGGTGCTATTATAGCCAGCGTATAACCTCAATATTGTTGAATTTGGTTTTAAAATAATAAACAAATAGGTACTATAATATGTTCATCTTACAATCATTTATTAACGCAAAAAATAACTCCATCGTCACAACATGCATTTTTGACTTCTTTATACAACATTCTTCATCTTTTTACACTTTTTTTCGTCAACACACCTGTTACTTTTTTTTGTACCCTCACTTTGTGATATCATCCATACTATAATAAATTTGATTTTTATGGCCTGAACTAAAAAAACAAATAAAAATGAAAACAGTCTTTATTTATATTATTTAACTTGAGAAATAATTTGTTCCCAATACAAACTTTATCCTTATTTCACCCTTTTCAAGTTTCATTTTTGCAAAAAAGTAGCCCATGTCATACTCTAAGGTCCCATCCACCTCTATACAAAAGGTCATTAAAATTGGTTCAGCGGTTTAGGTGTGAAAACGGAACAGACAAACAGACAGAGTTACTTTCGCATTTACATATAATATTAGTAGGTATGGATTAATATGGATGTATCCAGGATTAATAATGTCGCTAATAACACAAACTAGTAGTGCTAGAAATTGATCTACGAGCGATTTAGGTTGAGATACATATTATGTATATCTCTTAGTTTAGTTTTAGTCCAACAATATAGCTGTAATACTTTTCGAGTTAATTAAATAGATGTTACACACGGACAGACCGAATGACAAAGTGACAAAATATATTTTTTTAAGTTTCAAAAAAATTTAAAAAGTTTCATATAGTTATCTTATTCAGTATACCTAGGTATATAAAAGAGGGGCTCCAAGAAGCAAATTTATAGAGCAATTATTTTAACATTTTTTGTTGTCTTCAATGACAACGAAGGTCCGACAAAATGCTATAAATTAACAATTGCCTAACTTTTCAAAAAATTAACTTAAAAACTTTTTCCAACGGGACTAAATTCTTTAAAGTCTTTGCAATACCTACACCATAATTTATTTAAATTTTCAAATTGATATTTGATACTGTAAAAAATATATTTTACATGTACTCATCCTTCCTTCTCTCTTTTTTTCTCTCTACCCAAAGGTTGCTTAAATAGATTGCTCTCTAGCGATAAGACCGCCTATTACTAAGTACTATTTCATTTAATCTGTTTCAACCAGGTAATGTAAAAATATAAAGGTGTCCAATAAAAAATAATTAATTTGATTTTATTTGATTTATAATAATAATAATAAATCTTTTTTAGAGATTTAATGTACTCACTTTAACACGCTTGGAACCCTATTTTCAGCTTTAAATTAAAATTATAAATAATGGGGATAAGAGTTCCGGGAACTCAGACTTTTTTATTGAAAAGTTCCTTCTCTTTAAGGATCTTGTTTTTTAAAATTCTTAATTATTAATAGTTTTTGAATTATTAGTGAAAAACTAAATACCTTCTCCTTTTCACCTTTATATGTTTATAACTTTTGCAATTATTTACATACTGAAAATGGCTTAAATACATTTTTTTAGACATCATTCCCGATCCAATGAGCTATCGCATATTTTTAGGAGCTTTATCTCTATTTTTCACCATATTCAACTTATGACCTAGACTTTATCTAATTTTGACTATTGACAACATTTATGACTTAACCTTTTACGTCAACGTCAATTATTGTTGACGTTAAAGAACTGTGTTTAGACTTTTATCTGTTGATTTTTGTGCATTTGTAATTTTGTACCTACGAGAAAATTCTATAATTAAAATAGGCGATATTTTACTCATATAAAAAATCTTGTATAAAAACGTAGACGTATCAAACAAATTAAATATTTTAAACATGTCATATTTCGCCAAACAGTGCATCCGCAGGGTAAGTCGGTATAAATTTGGGAAATGTTTGTTTTATTCTGAAAAGATAACTATTACCAGCTGTTATCTTTTATAGGTATTGGCTCCAGCTGTATCGATAACAAAAAAATCATGCTTCTCTACTAGTAAGTATTACATAACCTAACATCGTATAAAATGTTATGCCGCCGGTAGACTAAATTTGTTTTCAATATGTAATAACTATAAACTTATAAGGTATGACTTTTTAGGAAATATTATTTTTTAATTAACTTTAATTATCAACAGCAAGCAAAAAAAGGCAGCATTTTTTTATGCTTTAGCTCTATATTAACGCTCAATTTCTTAACAATTTAATTTCATTAAAGCTTACATATTATATTCCTCAAAGTTAGTTTCCTTTAAAATAAGAAAAATTGATTTATATAACAAATCATTATTATACTGGCTAGTATTTTTTGCTTGTTAACTTCCATTATATTTTCTAGCTAATACTGCATTTACTCCAAGAGTACAAAAGCCAGCCCCTGATTTTGCTGCTACTGCTGTAGTTAATGGAGAGTTTAATCAGTTGAAACTGGCAGATTTTAATGGAAAATATGTTGTACTTATGTTCTACCCATTAGACTTGTAAGTTAGACTATTCTTGCTGTTCTCTCTTTATTTTAAAAGTACTTAATACAACTGTAATATTAAAACATCATCATGTAACACTTTATTTATTAAACAAACTAAATGTATAATGTACTTAGCAACTCACCCTCGCTTCGCTTGGGTTCGTCCCGAGCTTGATCCACTATACAAACTTTCATCCACATTTTCAACTCCTTAAGGGATGATTTCTGGGATAAAAAGTATTTTATGTCCTTCCCAGGGTCTCAAACTATCTTCTTACCAAATTTCATCTAAATCGGTTCAGTAGATCCAGAGATTATCCCCTATAACGTCATAAACCCACAATTTCACAAACTTACAAACTTTACCTTTTTTATAAGTATAGATAAATGTGTAAAGTATTCTAATCACCGACAAACAATAAATTATTCATATGAATATTAACTATATTTTAAGTATGGATGTAAAAAGATACAGTTTTCTACAATCTTAATACAACATCATAATGTAAAAATTATTGATAAATCGAGGCACTCTCTCTTAATATTTTGTGTAATAATAAAACTTTATGATTTTTTTTATAAAATTAATTTGGAACACAAGGAGTTCACTTTTATACCTATTAAATATATATATTATATTTAAATAAGTATTTAAATTTATATTTAAATAAGTAGGTTTTTATAAGAGATTTTCTAATGAAATAATTCTTTTTGTAACAATTATTTCATTTGAAAATCTGTTTTAAAAAACCTACTTATTTTCTGTATGTTCTATGTAGTTTTCATTTAAATATGTATGTTAATTATTATGCTTAATTTCAGTACTTTTGTATGCCCAACTGAACTTATTGCATATAGTGATAAAGCAAAAGAGTTTGCTAGTATTGACTGTCAAGTTATTGGAGTATCAACTGATTCAGAGTTCAGCCATCTTGCATGGATTAATACACCCAGAAAGGTAAACATAAATACAACCTTTATTGCAAAACATTGATTCATTTTTAGGGTTCCGTACCTAAAGGGTAAAACGGGACCCTATTACTAAGAGTCTGCTGTCCATCTGTCTGTCTGTCACCAGGCTGTATCTCATGAACTGTGATAGTTAAACAGTTGAAATTTTCAGAGATGATGTATTTGTGGTTGATGTATGTTGTTTATTATTGTGTTTGTTGCCGCTATAACAACAAATACTAAAAAAAGAATAAAATAAATATTTAAGGGGCTTGCATACAACAAACGTGGTTTTGTTGCTCCTTTTTGCTCGATATTGATAACGGCAACAGGTAGACGTAATAAAATATTCTATAATATACAGGACGTAATAAAATATTCTATAAAATTTTCCAGGATGGTGGTTTAGGAAAATTAGATATACCTTTGCTAGCCGATTACAAGAAGCAAATATCTCAAGATTATGATGTGCTTTTGGATGATGGCTTTGCTTTACGTGGTAATTATGTGAAACTAATAATAGCTTGAACAAATATGTGTGGAGGTTTTTATATTTAAAGAAATCTAAAATTCTGGGTTTAAATTAAATCTTATAAATAAAAATCCAAATTAAATTTTATGTACTCCCAAATTTTTTATGATATACAAACAAGCAATCATGCAATCTTTTAAAGAGAGAAGAAAAAAACATATGTAACTAAGACCATTCACACAACGACAACACATAATTTTAATACTAAAAAAATATTTTTAGGTCTATTCATTATTGACAGAAATGGAATCTTAAGGCACATGTCTATAAACGACTTGCCCGTGGGACGTTCAGTTGACGAAACTTTAAGATTGGTTAAAGCATTCCAATTTGCCGATAAACATGGAGAAGGTATTGTGTTATAATTAAATAGTACCTGGGCGATCAAACTTCGCTCTGCATTTTTTTTTTGTAAAATCATCTTTATTTGGAAAAGACTTGTATTTTGTTTTTTATTTTTTTCAGAAAAGATCTCTAAAATTATAAACTTAAAAGTAAATATTAACTTAAAAAGCAAAACCTTACAAATACAAAATTTGATTCAATTCATTAGAGCCAGAATAAAATAAATAATTATTACTAATACTTATTATAATTATATTGAATGAAATCTCCAAGATTTGATGCAATTTTATTTAGTTGCAAAATTAAAATTATATTATTTTTATTGCAACTTAAATTATGATTTTTGGTAAAATTTTTAATGTAAAGTTGGATTTTTTTTTCAAATTATAATTAATTCAGAAATAAATTGTTTTCAGTGTGCCCTGCTAACTGGAATCCTGATACAAACGCAGACACAATCAAACCTAATCCTAAAGGAAGCAAGGAGTACTTCCAGAAAGCCAACTAACACCTTAGTATAAGTATAGTTTAAGAATAAAAGACCTAGTCTATAAAGATACAGTGATTTATATTATTTAATCTAAAAAACAATAATTTAAATGAAATACCTACTTCCAGTTATTGCATTCAAATTTAAACAAATGTTTGTTAAAGTTTGTCTAAATTAAATGGCAACATCAGATTTGTTTTAAATAAATTCCCATAATGCATAACTTCTAATAAATGTAACTGAAACTAAAACTATTTCATTAATTCCCTATTGTTTATTTTTTTTTATTATAATAAAGTTAAGTAATTTGTAAAAATTGATTTGACCAGCACATTTAGAGATGGCTTTTGGTTAATTTGAAAATAACTTTCGAATCTAAAAAATGTAAATGAAAAACAATTCCTTCCCTGAATTGTGCTGTTTAAAGTTGTAATTGTACTTAATTCAAAACTCAACTTTTGTTACAACAAATAGTTATGAATAGAAAAAAATATTAATAAATTATTAAAAATATTGTAATTTATTTAGTAAAAAATCTAAAAAATTTTTTGCTACACATTAAGGAATTTTATACATAAGTTTTAACACTTCATGAAACTATAATAAAAAAAACCAATTCATTTTTAAATTGCATATAATATTTGATTTATTATATATGAGAAAGTACCAAGTATGGCATCTATAAGTCTTACATATCACTAACATTTATATATTCATATACATTATACATAGACAAAATATTTAATTATTTTGATAATATTGAGTTAATAATGTTGATTTGCAAAAGCTTTTATATTTTTTGCTCTTTCACATTAATTTATTATGGACACATATTAAGGATTAAAATGATTTTATTGTAAAATATATGGATTCCCGAGATCTTCATTTTATTGTTAGCAATATAAGTTTGCCAGTTAAAACAAGGTTTCAGTAACAACCACTTCCATACAATAAAAATAACCAACTTGGATTTTTGCACTAAAAATCACATTGTACGCTGTATCTCTAAATACCAATATTAAAAATCAATAATTTTTAAAATGTTACAAGAAACTTAAAATTGCTATAATTTTTTTAAAATACATATGTCATTGTTTTTTTTTATTAATTATTTTATTCTTAGAGATATTTCCAAATGAAGGGACTTAAAACCTAGGCATCCACTGAATTATCTGGTACATTATTACACATGAATACAACACTGAACATTACAGATAAAATATTACAGAAATATGTATAGAATGGTTATAATAGTAGATCTAAACTATTGATAAATGATTATATTATGCTTCTTACTAATGAGATATCTTAATATTCTAAAATTTTAAATATTTTAATCAGATATATGTTAGACATTCATATTCTGAACCAAGTTGACAATAACTGCTTTAACTATATTATACTTAGCTGCCAATTTGCTTATAGAGTAATATATGAGACTAATACTGTTTTAATTATTGATTATGCATAAATGTGCATGTACATAAGTTTTAAATAATAAAGTGTATACATTTCAATGCAAACTTTATCCTGTATATTGTTCTAGTCTTTCATAGAGTTTTTGTTCACAGACTATTAATAGTCTTTTACAGTCCAATGGCACTTATGTCCTAGAAGTACCGTCAGGAAGGATCATCATCCGAATCCAAATCAGAAGAATCATCAGATGAATCGCTGCTTGAATCAGTTGAAGAATTTGAGTCAGATGAATCTGTTTCATCATCACTAAGAAAATCACTGCACTTTTTCACACCTGGCAATAAAGACATTGATGCCATTTTTACTGCCATCTCATTTTCCATTACTTGTGTTTCTTCCAATTGTACCATTTTTGCAGCCTCTTCTAATTCCTCTAATTCTAATGCAACATCTTTTTTAGTTATTTCAATATTAGCAATATTATTGCATATTTCATCAAATTCTTCAGGTCTACATTTTTGTAGGAATATTAAGTAATCTTTTATATATAATTGATTAAGTATATATCTTGCATCATTGCTCAAATTAAACAGCTGATAAATATTTATCATACATTTAATGACAAACTTCTTTCCTTTTCTTAGCAGTGAAACTAGATCACTCTTGACTTTATGACATAACTCAAAGTTTCTAAATATTGGATAAATTAACGCCCGCCTATAACATGCTATAAGAAGTTCTTTCATATCGTTAAAAACACAAAACCAGCATAATGTAGATGACAATTTATTAATTGTCCAGCTTGATTCAACTGTACCTTCATTTAAAGTGGTCCTTTTATCATAACAATAGCCAAAAAATATATCGATTAATCCAAGGAAAACTTGCCTGTGATCAGTTTTGCTCAAGATATAATGCTTATTTGGCAGTTCCTTTAAAATGCTTACTTCTTCTTCAGTAAAATCAGCATCTTTATCAAACTCTGGCTTATTCCAAAACATAGTGGCAGCCAAGTAAGGTGCTATCAATTCCTCATCAAAAAAGTCTGCTAAATAATGGTCTGATGAGAATTTGTGATCTTCATATTTTTGTCTCAAAGAATTCCGTTCTTCAATTGCTACCCTTTCAGGTACCCTTAATTCAAAAATTTGCGGAAACTCCGAACCAATATCTTTAAACCCAGTTGATACCTTACTGGCAAATCCATAGCCGAATTTATCATATTCGTCGCCCTCATCTGTCTCATCACTTTCGATGGTCACACCATCTTCTTCAAGCATTTCAACCAAGTTAGGATTTATATCTGGTATATCACGAGGGGCCAGCAAATTCGTAATCATGTCAAGATTTTCGAAATGTTCTCCTGGAGTTTCTTTATCAAATGTAAGGCTAAAGTCACCGGAATCGCATGTATATGAACCCTTTGAGCTATCATTTTCGATTATTCTGCCTGGCAGGCGAAGTCTGAGAAAGTATGGACTCGAAACAAAGAGAAAATTCTCACCATCCACATCAATTTCTGTTTCGCCGATATTCGTGTATGGAGCGTGGACGGTAATAAAAACGTGATTCGCGTCTTGCGATAACTTAAACCGTGGAGTTAACATTATCAACGATAGAAAAAATCATGTATGTAAAACAATATCGATTGATATTAAAAATAATACGAGCTTTTAATTAATTGATATCGAATTTAAAAATATATAGGTACCTAGCGAAACAATAACATGCCGCATGCGCCAAGCATCCGCATTCCGCACAAATGACAACTCAAAAGTCAAAACCATAGAGTATGTAACCCTCTACACAAAACTTTTATTTGTTATCCATGCACAAAACTTTATTTTTTAAACCTGTGTCACAGTACAGTACATAGTAGGTATAAGCGAAGTACGATGACATTGACTTATGTCATTTAGACTTAATTCACATAGACTTGCCCTTATTTTTATCGACAAAAAACATTCTTTAATGATTTTAATTATATATAAGAACCATACATAATTAGTTTTATTTAATAAACTTATATGAATTGAATTATTTCTCACTAATTATTTTTCGCCCACGGCTCCACTCGAGTGGCAGGTGGAGCAGGGATAAGAATTAAAAAGTAAGTTAAGCGGTTTCGTTGTAAATAAATAACAAACAAACATACCTACAGAATTAGTTTCGCATTTCTAATAATTATGAATGCGAAAGTTTTTGTCATTACAATTATTGTATTGATTATTATCTTACTTAAATGGATAATAAAATAATTAAAAAAGGAACTATTATGATTAAATGAATCGAAGACGATAAGGACTTGTATCATATTCGTTAGATTATTACAAACAGAAGCCTTAAATCCATGATCTCCCACGTAATATTTAAAGCGGAGGCGGCGAGAAAGTTAACAACTCGACTCCAGTCTTTTATAGACAGCGGTCATTAACTCATTGTTTTCATAGTTCGTTTATTTTCGGTCACCCCTCACATAAAGTATCATTCATTTTAAACCTTAAAATAAATAGGAAGTCGTGCATCCTTTCTTATTTTTAACTACGATATATCCCCATCGACACGACTTACGCGTTTAGCTGAAACGTTTCAGTGTAAAGGTATCTAATTTGAATAAATACAATTTGGAACTTAAAACGAAAAGTATTTCTTTTTAACTTTTAAAAATATATCCTGAATGTTGCGATTTGCAAAAATTTAAATCAGAGGTTAACACATAATATAAACATAAAACATTGTTGATTTGACAAATTGACAAGTGAAGTGCAGATAGAATTGGCGAATTTTCGAAACTATTTTAATGATTCTTGTTTATATGTGAAATTGTACAAAGTTATTGATATAGAAGGAAAATATTAAAATACAACATTTATTTAGAATATAATGCCCTCGGGACGAAAACGATGGAACTTGCATGGTAAGTATACAATTTAGCACAATAAACTGAAATCAATACTTTTCTATCATTAAGTTAATTTTAAACTGAACTGAAATAGTGTTAAGATTACATCCTATTGATATTATTTTATCGAGTAAGTAAAATATATTTATATTCGAAATAGCACTTGACCTTGTATTATGAATTCATTATTGGCATCTATAGCAAAAATCTGCAAAAAAATAGCTAGTTTTCTAATAATGTAATAAAGATAAAAAACTACTTATTATTTTCAAATCCTTTCTGAACCAACTACGACTATAACCACAGACAATATACTTTTTGAGGTTTATCTTCCTTCAGATGGACCTCAGGGCTCTTTAAAGAGACTACGCAATCAGCTCGCTGAAGATGGATGTGCTGAGTCACAGGTTGTTCTAGCTAAGCAACTGCTAGAGGAAAAATGTGGTAAATCAATGAATTAACATAATTTCTTCATCATAATATTTTATTTCTTTATAATAATATTGTAGAATATTTCAGTCTTATATTTTCTCTAGTGTTATTTTTTGGTTCTATTTTATATACTTACAAATAGTTATATATAAATATATTATTAAATTTTGTTACTATTTTTATTCAAACTCCTGTAATTTTCTTTTAGAACTAGAAGCAGATAAAATATCCAATTTTAAGCAGGCATTGGAATGGCTAATTTGTGCCACAGAGCAAGCACACCCAGAAGCTAGAAGAATGCTACGAAGGTAAATATTTTATGATTTCATGTTAATTTTGTAACCTTTTACATACAGTAGTAATAAGTTGAATAAATTAAAATTGGAACTATCTATACAGTTTAAATAAAATTGATATTTGATTATATACTTTTATAGTATATAAACATAATTCTACAAATTTCTGCAATTTGTTGAGAATGGATTTACAAGCAGTGAGGTTTTATCATTAACCATCTATATGTCTATCCAAAACATTTATGCATTCAATATGTAATTGTTACAACTTGCAGATTGCTTGGACATTTACTGTAATGTATTAGCAGTCAACATCTCTGTCAACATATCTGTTTGCAATTAAACTCATGACAAATAACCATAAACCTCACCACAAATCACCAGGGGAGAGGGAAAAGTTAAAATGTTGCTAAAAAACATCACATGATTATTGGACGACCCCATATCAGTCTGTCTGTATTTCACAGCCATATTAGTCTGAGACTATTGGATTGTTGGTATAATATTTTTAAAGGGGTTTCACGTGAATCGCTAAAATAACATGATGAAGTTATATTACGAAATACAAAAATAATCATATCTAGAGAGAAATATAGAGTACATCTTTAGAAGATGTATAGAGTACATCTTTAACTGTAGGGTAAAAAAGAAATGTATAAGCATTATGGGTATATTTGGAAAGGCAATTACCGAATTTTGGTTTTTTTATGAGGGCCTATGCACACGAATTTTTTTAACGACAACGAGCGACGACTGCGCTCATATACTTAAAAGATCAAATGCACAACACGTTTCCTAAAGTTGCCGACGACGGGTGTTAGACATACATTATGAACGCACACCGTCTCCTCACATTTTGCGCCGATAAATTAAGAAACGTGCAGATTTTTTGTGTTTGTATTGCTACCAATGCGAAACAAGTGCGTCAACAACGCTTTAAAAGTCATCAATCATCGATCGTGGTCTCGATTATTCCAATGGATCAAACTTTATCGATTATGTATTATCTAAACACATAAATAAAATTGAAGTGTCTGTTTGTAATGTCAAAATAACAGCGTTATACAAAATGCATATGAAATTATATACGGTACTTAAAAGAAAAACACAATTTTTTAAATTTTTGTTTGTCTGTCTGTTTGTTCCGGATAATCTCTGAAACGGCTGGACTGATTTTGACGGGACTTTCACTGAAAGATAGCTGATGTTATAGGGAGTAACATAGGCTACTTTTATTTTAGAAAAAGAATTAGGGTTCTGCTCAGTTTATTTACCGCACAATTTTATTTCGATAACTAGTGAGCGAGTTATCGAAATAAAATTGTGCGGTCGATTAAGTAGTGAGTTGGAGTACGATCACTTCAAATTTAATTGAACATGAAATTAAAGGCACTTTAAATAAAAACCTTTATATCAAGTCAGTTATTTCAAATTTTTAAATATTATTTCATTCTATTACCTTATATACTTTTTTTACTAGCGAATCACCATCGCTCCGCCCGGGTTCGTCCCTAATTACGTTTTTTTCTCGCAGTAAAAAGTAGCCTATATGTTCACCCGGATAACCAGCTATTATCATACCAAATTTCATTAAAATCTGTCCAGTGGTTTTGTCGTGATGCGGTCACAGGTCACAGACAAACAGACAAAAGTCTAAAAACTATAGATTCGGCCTCTGTATCGATAGTAAATAATAATGACTATTTTAAATTTTAATAAGATTTTCCAAAAAATATTCAATGTACCCACAGATTCGATACCTATAGTTAGAATTTTATTATATGTATAGATTATCTACACTCATGAGATTATCTACTCGTATACCTTTTTGTAGTTTTTTCTTAAGCCGTGTTGACACGATCAAAGTCTACTCTTTGACAAAGTAGTTTTGATGATTACTTTGACGCAACTTTGATCATGTAGACGAGCAATCAAAGCGCACTTTAAGTGGACGTTAATCAAAGTGGACTTGGACCGTGTTCTTCTTTTCTCAAAGCCTGATTTGACAAAGTAGTTTTGATGACTGCTTTGATTGTGTAAGCGAGCAATCAAAGCGCACTTTGACATCGGCGTTCAAAGTGGACTTGGAGCCGTGTTTATCATAGTAAACTAAATTTCAAAGCTTTTTGTCAAAGCAGACATTGAGCGTGTCAACAGGTATCCAAGTAAACTTTGATCAAAGCTACTTTTTCAAAGTCACTTTGTCAAAGCGGACTTTGAGCGTGTCAACGCGGCTTTAGCCTTACAAACTGGCCAGTAATTTTGTAATTTGATATGTCAAAATCAATCAAAAGTCATTTCATTTACAGCATAATTAATTCAGAAATTACACATCAGTAACAATAAAATTTCAATTGCTTTTGTTTATAGTATTATTTTGAGAAATGATATGAGGTAAACATCCATTGTTAAATATTATCATTCTTTAGACGCGTAAATTCTAAACAACATATTTTGTATACATCAGTATTGTCTTGTCTCTACAAAAGTAGTGTCAGTTTTGTAAATGCGTGGAAATTTCAATGATTTTGCGATTTGGAAAATAAAATGGGATAAAGTTCGTTTGGAGTTGCAATCGTCTAAGTAAGATTAGATTAGTACATACATAATATTTATAAATATATAGAAAATATATAGAAGTGGGTTTTATTACCTTGTTTTGGTTTTTGCTCCTCTGATTTATACTAGAAGTAAGACTTCATAATTTAAGTAAGTAAGTAAGTTATTAAAAATTGATATTTAGGATACCGTGTAACGCAGTAAATCTTGAGGTTCTGGGTTCGAACCTCGTATCGTTATCCATGTTTTTCTATCACGAAATTTTTGGTAGTGATGTGGAGTTGAAAAGTTATTGATATAACAGTCGTGGCATCAGAAATTCTTTCGGTGGTCTTCCACTCAATCTCTTTCTGGATGTGTTTCCTTTCACTCATACTCCGATGGAATCATCGATACGTATATGCACAAATTTGCACTGGGAAATGCATTCACGCATACCACCTGCAGACATACAGGGGCATATGTGGGACTAACCGACTAGAAAAGCCAGTACTATCCACTAAAACCCAACAGAACCTCCCCCGTCTTAATGGGGCGTCACAGGATTGCTTACTCCTCAACCACAACGCCCCGACGATAGGTCTGCCGAATTATACCACAACAAACAAGGGGTTTCTCTAACAGTTCACTCTGCTATTAGAGAAGTACCAGGAGCAGCCCGCATGATACACCGCCCACCGAAGAGGGCCAACTTCCTGTGCGTTTCTTGGTTTCTCTGGATGAACATTAATACTTCCTGCGCAGATAATATGTACATATATTCTCAGTAACATTGGTCTTTGTAACCAGTAATCGATCAGGATGACACTATTAGGCATAATTAATAACTTAAATATATATTTAAACTCCCATCCCATGCTGTTTAAAAATATAACCCACTCATTCAGAGTCCGCGCCCCTTTTAATTAAACAGTCGATTATTATTTAAAAAATCAACTATATTTATGTAGGTGTATAAGGAGCGGGGTGATAGATGAAGACAGTGCGCCGATAGTGCGGGCCAAGTCGTGCCTCACGGCCAGTCGGCAGGAGACGGTCGCGAGGAAGGCTGCAAGGGATCTTTTTGCTAGGTAATGTTGTATACATCTATATACCTTTAGGTAATATACCGCTTTCATTAACATCATACAACGCTCTCTTGGACAATAATGCTCAATGGCACCCATTCAATGAGAAGTGATCGACTTTGGTTCTTAAGTTACTAAGGTTTACTGAGAATATTGAATATCCATGTTATTAATATTCTCAGAACCCAAATAGTATTTATTTATGTACTTTTGTTTCTAATGTTTTTTTTCTCTTTCCTTTTGTGTTTGTAATAATTTATAATCTATAATCTAGTTAGTGTAAGTGACACTGTTGTTCTATTAATGTCAATAAATAAATAAAAAAATATATGTAATTGGTATCAGTGTGAAGGTGATTTTGTATAGGAATTCCGTGCTAAACATCATGCACTAAACCTTCGTATAAAAAGACCAATGACTGATACTTTAAGTGTATTTTGTTCATTTAAATATTACAGTTTAGTATATACTTTTTAAATTACACATGAATTTCATCGATAATTGTTATTTTACTTTTTAGTTTGTCAAACGGGGAGCAGTACATAACGACAGCGCAGTTAGAGCGTAGGATTCGTGAGATTTGTTCAACAACGCTAAGGAAAGATCCAGACGATGACTCTATAGATGATGACTCACCAGGTATACCTTTATATATATGGTATATCTTTACTAATATCACAGTCTGCAAATCCATACTGTCTAATATAGGGGTCTAGACAGAGCAATCTTGCAGTTTGCCAGACAAGACGAAGGTGAAACGCACCCGACTTTCATACGTTCTTTTCTATGACTTATCGGGAAATAGTTTTATCGTTGTCAGGTATAACTGTAATTTACCACGAGATGCCGGAGCCGGTGGTAGACTCCTCACGTACTTATATACTGACACTAGCCACTCACGTTCACGCGACATTCTTCCCTAGCTTGATTCCTCATACATACACATATATCATCAGTACATCTTCTGTACTGCTTGATAGGAATTGACAAAAGTTTAACGACCGGCCGCTTGCCTGACGTCAATCCTCCGTGGGAATGCTATTGTCTTGTAATTATTATGTTCGTTCCTAGTAAAAAACAAAAATAAATCTATCCCACGGTAACCGTACATTTTTCTGGGATAAAAAGTAGCCTATATACTATTCTAGACTGTAATCTCTGTGCCAAATTTCATCCAGATCCGTTCAGCTGTTGTGGCGTGATTGAGTAACAAACAAACATCCATCCATCCAACCTTTCGCATATATAATATTAATTGGATTTTCAGAAGAAGAACAAGTGTTGGACGGAGAAAATGCGTTAGAGCCCTCACAGCTTCAAGCTGGGGATCATTTACACTCAAATGGCACTATTCGGACGCAGGATTTAGAGGATGGTAAGATGTAATGATTATATTCTATTTCCCTTGTTTTAAGGGGTCCTCAATAACCTATCTATACTTTTCCGTACTAAATATAAATATTTTTCACAAGCTCTATACAAATCATGTAAAATTCCTATGACTCATAAGGAAAATCATAGTATTTTGTCATCCCCCGTTAGTCGGGTCATGATGTAAAAATATTTGGGAATCGAACCTATGGTCTCCAAAGCTTATTTGTATACAAATTTAATTGAAGATATTTTAGTATGTGATAATATTGCCAATAAATTTTTTTTTTTTTTTTGCTTTTTGCAATTTTTTGTTTTACTTATTATAATGAAGGTATCGAAAGACTAAATTTATTTTAAGTCTGAACATAAGTGAATACCAAACATTGTATTTTTATTATAAACTACGTAGGTTTTAATTTTTTTTGAGCGGAACCCTAATATTTTTATCTAAAATAAAAGTAGCCTAAGTTATTTTTTATAACATCAGCCATCTGCCATGGAAAGTTCCGTCAAAATCAGTCCAGCCGTTTTAGGAGATTAACCGGAAGAGACAGACAGATTAAATATTGTGTTTTTCTTATAAGTACCGTAAATAATTTCATTTGCATTACTAATAAAAAGCTGTTATTTTGACATTACAAACAGACACTTCATGTTTATTTATCTGTATAGATATGTTAGAATATATAATTGCACTTTTATGTCTATGGATCCCAATAACCTATCTATCTGTTTTTTTTTTTAATTTAAATTATCAATATTCGATCGATCCTTAACATTTTATATATAAGAAGAACATTTTTTTTACCTAAAATAATACAATTATTTCTTTTCTTTCTAGATTATCCAGACAGATGCGCTCGGAATGAAGAGATTCGTAACTTAACAGTCGATAATCTTGTTTCCGCCGCGGTACATTATTGTCAGGGGGAATTACCTCTTGTCAGTCACGAATTGACCCTAACTGACCCTAATATAAAAGCCCTAGACCACATCCCTATACTAAACCAAGCTTTTCTACACCCTCTACTATTTATACAGGTGTTATATCTTAAATTGTTGTATTATTTCGGCAATTTTTCCTTCAGGCTATCTAATATTGAGCTCTCTTTGCTCCTAATAGCCTATTTGTCAGTCAGTACGGAGAGTCTCTACCATTTGGTGCCATTAGTTTTGTATTATGTCAGTATTATAGCAATGGTTATATGTACGTTTAAGATATTGTTTGCAAAACGGCAGTTTATTGATTTTAGGAAATGGTCTGGTCTGTTTCTGAGATATAGTGATGGGAATTTACAGCCAGACGAATCGGAGAATCTGTTTGTACGCAATAATCTTGGACCATTCTTTCAGTTTTTCTTAGCGTTATTCGTTAATTTGTTTCTCTATCCGTTTATAGCTACTCAATGGGTGCCATTTTCGGAATTTTGTGTTCTATCGTTTTGCCTTATGTTTTTGACTCTATTTTCATTTGGCACGAATGGCAATCCCTATCCCGATGTTTTGGCATTAATCTCATTCGGTATAAACGTATTGGCAAAATATCCATACGAAAAAGACACAGTGGTACATCAAGGGTGGAGATTCTTAGACTTGCACATATCAAATTATCCGTCTTACATTCTTGGCAATAGTATAGAGTTTTGTCTAAACTCGAGAATGTTCTTTTCCCTATTGATCCCGATTATTCTAGTGCTAATGACTAGACGTAGCAATTGGCAAGGCTTTCTAAAGTACACTCTACCACATTGTGTGACCTTGAGTTGGTTGCAAATGTTCATAACTTGTTCCCACGGGTGTACGACATATGGATTGATAAGGGGCACCTTAGCGTTAGTCTGTTCCTTCCTATTTTTACCCCTGATGGGTATTTTAACAGTTATCCTACCGATTTTAACCTTCCTCCAGTATGTAACTTTGTCGAAATTGTTCTATTCTTTAACAGTTCTGATTGGGTTGACAGTGGGACTGCTGGTCACATGCCTTTTGGCAAAGTCAGACGCTACCAAGAAGTTTGTGACGCCTATTCAGGTATTGATATTTGGATTTTAACGATTTTTTGGTGTTTTTGACAAATTCTAAGTCTTTTTTACTCTCCGTGACTATGTTTTTTGTAAAACATTCGAAAAGCCGGAACAAATATATTAAAGCGCGACAAAATCAAAAAAGATACTTTCAATTAAAATATAGTATATTCGCGTAAATCTAAAAGAGAACAATAATTTATTCATTACAATCCGTTATCAATAAATCTATTTTTTTTAATATTCACACTAAAATGTATCATCATATAATTTAGTATCATCTCTTTCTTAAAGTTTTTTAAAATCTTGATTTTGTACTCACTAACATAGATGTATAAATATTAAGTATTAATTTGGCCTAATTTACTTACAGCTAGCTATCGGTTTCATAACGCTTCTGTACACAAGCAACGAATTCATCGCACACATAAAAGACGATGGAATGCCTTCAAGCCTTATACAATTTATGGGGGACGAGAAACCCATAAAGAATCTCCTCAAAAACGAATATATATCAGACTACGAAGAAATATACCACATTTCATGGGAAGATTACTACAACCAATGCAACATTCCATCTTGGTCAGATAATAACATGGCTTCCACTCAAATAAAGTGCTCCATATTAGATAATGTAAATATAAACTGGGAGGGTTATGTTAAAGAAGTGAAATTAAGAAGTGTTAGAAATCAGTGGAGTTTAATAGTATCATGGTTACCATCTATTTTGTCAGAATATGTAAAGTGTTACTATGGTGAAGCCATTACGTGTGAAAGTGTTTTGGAGGATTGTGGTTTTGTAACGAGTGTTGCCAGACAGAGCGGGAAGAGTTGCCATTTGAATAATTTAAATGAGTAAGTTTTTTTTAATATTATTTTGTTTGACATGCTAAGTGACAGTTTGTTTGTTTCTTTCTTTAGTAAATTTAATCAAAGAGAACATAGGAATAATGCATAATAAAATCTAGGTCGAGCGGGTTCGATTTCTGCTGTATCGTAATTTTTAATTTAAACGTTTTATTACATGCATATATTAATAAAATCATTTACACAATTGCTATAGCTGTACTAAAAAATTCTTCTATTACTTTATTTCACGGCCATGTCGCATTGCATGATGGTACAATGTTCAAGAACTTTTTTAATAGAACCGAAGATCGTGAGTTTGATTCCCGAATAGGGCATAATGGTCTACGGTATTAACTAGTAGATGGATACACATACTATTATAATACAATTATATAATAATAATTAATCTTATTTATTTTCATTAGGTATACCTCAGAAGTGATCGTCAACATGGAAGCGAATGGTGGTCTATTGAAGCGTCACACTGAAATTACTCTCATATATGAGCATTTCTTCACAAATTTCACGCGGCTACTGCGTAGAGACGACAAAATAAGTTTCAAAGGCATTTTGTCAAACGAACCTGGCACTTATAACATAGGTCATAAGGACCTAATGATAAAAGGTTATGCCATAAATTGTTTAGAATGTAAAGTTGCAAGGGGATCCATTAGTTCTAAAAGTCCCACTATGTCAAAATTGTCAGAACTTTGTCGAACGATAGTCAATGATTGTGTAGTGTCAGCAAAATATATACTTAATTTCTTGCTAAATCCTATTATAATTTTTAAATGAATATCTTATTGAGATGCCATAATATTGTTATTGTTTTTCTGTGGTTTTTTACTGTTGATATTTTTCGTTTTGATTAATCTGTGGTAGATATTTATTGTCTGTACATTACATTTGCTTCAATTGTGTATCTGTATTTCATATATTTTTTTATAGTCTGTGCAGATTAGGAATTCATTTCATACAATATAAGAGATAACTAAAACAGTCGTCCCCATCAATGCTATATATTTTTGGATAGAATATACGCAATTTTGTACAATATTTCAAATTATAACAATTTAATTGGGGTGAAATTTGTTTTGAAATCTATTGTAATAATGAAATAAACTATTGAACAAATCCTATTGAAGTATAAAATCAATAAATTAACTATGTTAGTGGTATAATATTGTATAATTTTGAATATAAACTAAATATTTTCATATAAATTCTCAATTATATACATATTATGAATAAACTTTAATGTGTTAAGAGCGGTTTTTGTGTTTTCTAAATTATAAGACAATTTCCTCATATATGTAGACATTTTGAATGAATAGGGAATATGCGTGATTTTTGAAATGAAAACTTATATAGGCAGGTTTGGATGGGGAGTTAATTCATGTAAGTCGGCATCGACATGGTCACGTGACGTGTTAACGCTTACACTCAGAGTGCCGATAGATGTTAAAACCAGATAAATGAAAACAGTTTTAATTTATAAATTTTAATTTAAGATCAAACAATTTGCATATCCAAAAATAACAACTGTTTGTTTATAGTTTTTGTAGCTTTCACTTCTGTCGGCAGCCCTCGTGAGTCATGACTGCTTTTTTTATATAATAGCTTACATCGTTATAAAATTGGAAAAAATATCCAGCTCCAAAATACTAAAATTTAGTAAAAAAATATCAGATACGGGTACTTTAAACGCCCACCATTTCGGCTTCACTTCACTTCGCTTGGCGTGACGTCATAGTTTATGACAACATTAATATCAACCAATGAACAAGTCTAGACTAGGCTAGTAACAATCGCAAACACCACACAACAGCGCTCTGTTATTATAGACTTTGACGTCACATTCGGTCTGACCAATGGCGTTGCGATTCAACTACTTTGAATTTCCCACCCATTTTTGCACTTTTTAATAATTATTTTCCTAATCAAAAAGAAATTACATTAAATGATAAATAAAAAATTTAAAAAACCTCGATTTTCATCAAACGTAGCTAAGAACACTCCCGACTAATTAACCTTTCAAACAAAAAAAAAACAAAATCAAAATCGATTCATTAGTTCGGGAGCTACGATGCCACACACAGACACACGTCTAACTTGTAACACCGCGTTGTTTTTGCGTCGGGGATTAAAAATATTGATATAGGCTTTTTCAAATTCAAAAGCAATAAAGATTATAAAAAAAAATTTCACCTTTATTTAAATCACACGCATATTCCTTAATGTGTTATTAGTTTGTGTATAATTATTATTATTATATAATATGGAATCTGAAGGGTTTGAAACGATTTGATATTAAAAAAGCCAAAATTGAAATATCAGTTGGGCACTATATTTTTAATCTGTAACTTAAAATATTTATAATGTTTTTTTTTACATTTTGAATGAGAATGATATATAAGACAAGTAATAGATGTATTTTATTATTATAAATTATTGTGAAATGTTAATATTTATCTAGTGTAAAGTGATGTTTTATGTAACAATATAGTTTATAAACTCCCAGTGTATTTAATAAAAAAATATTTTCATTGATTTTTTTTCTTTAAATTTTTAGGACTTCATACATTTTATAAAAAACAAAATCCGTAGACTGGGTTTTTACTGCAATAAAACACACAGCACTAAATACATAATTACGGGATACTTACTGGATTCGTCAAGCAAAACTGAATAAATTTTAACATTTGCTTGGGGTAATAAGAAAATTTTTACACGAATAAAAAAGTGACATCATCTCTTCGGACTTTTTTGTGGGTTTTGGGGTCCCGACTTTAGAGGAGCTATAGAGACTCACGCGAAAAAAAGACCTTGAATATAATTTTATTTATATTGTCAAATATTTGCGTAAATCTAAGAAAATATAAGTGATAACTTCGTTTTGTGGGTTTATGTCTCTAGAAATCTAAAAGTTACCTATGATGATATGTGTAGTAAATTTCATCCAAATCAGTCCAGCCGTTTCAGCGTAAAAGAGCTAACTGACATATAGACACAAACTTTCACATTTATATCGTTCCGAATCAGACTATAAAGTGCGGTGTGCGTTTTTGCATAAACCCGTCTAGTAGGTGTAGAACACAATTATTCTTTACACTTTTGCAGGACATATTTATTATTAGCATTGCCCACGACTCTGCCCGTTTTCAGATGACCAGAAACCAAATTCTTAGGTTTTACATAATATTAGTATACTCTTACATTGCAGTATTGTATTTTTTCCTTCCTTTCCTCGGATTTGGTTCATATAAAACAACATTTTTAATACTTGTGTTATTTTATTACAAAAATACAATTTCATCAACATCTCATATTTTCGTCTAGTAAATGTAACTGGTAGCTTCTTTACTAACTTATTAATAATTAAGATTCTTAATTTTCCAAATAACACTTACAATTTACATTAGTAATAATAAATTCATAAAATTTTAATATTTAACTACACATACCAATATAACAAAAAAAAAATTCAATTCTTTATTTTGTGTGTACTTATGTACGCACGTAAGAAGTTATACTTCTTTGGCGTAACAGAACAAAAATAGCTAAAGATTTCATCCCGTATGTCACAACACTCTGTTTGTAAAAGGAATGCAGCTAACTTCATTATGTCGCTTTCGGCTATCGGTGTGCGCGCGCATCGTTAAAAATTTTACTCTTATATTTTTTTCCAAACGTGCCAAAAGAAGTATAACTTCAAAAATAATTCAATTTTGTATTCTCTAGCATAAAGGCGTGCCAATATTATAAAAAAAGTATTATCACCAAATATGGCTGGCATTAAAGTAAATGTTACCATTATCAAAAATACTCCGTTAAAAAAATATATTCGAAATATACATATTTTATACCTACCAATACAATATTTCTATAAAATTATCTATCTACGAATACATATATTTTCTTTTCAATGTTAAATCCAGTTAGTGAATAAATAATACATAATATATTGTCCCAATTTTCTTTTTAATTTAGATGTATAAATCTACACTTCAGAAACAGGCTAATCATATAAAGTATCAACACATTAAAAGTGTCCTATGTGTTGATCCGGATAATCAGCTATCACCATACCAAATTTCATCAAAATCCCTCTAGTGGTTTTTCTGTGATGTGGTCACAGACAATCAGACAGACAAAAATTCTAAAACTATACATTCGGACTCTGTAACGATAATAATGACTATTTCAATAATATTTTCCAAAAAATATTTAGTATACAGATTCGGCTTAGTTACAATTTTATTATATGTATAGATTGTTTCATTATCGCGATATTCCAGAATTAAAATAAAAAAAAAATAAAAAAAATAATTGAGCATTTGACACCATTGACTTTATATTTCTTGGAAACTCATTTAATTTTCAAATAACTGAAAAATAAGATTTTTAGGAAAATATTAATAAATAGTCAGTCAACAGACTTGGCAAATAGTGACGTCAGAGTTTGCTATTTGCTATACAAATCTTTCTCTTGTTAATGGCTTCAAAGCGTGCCAGTTGAGCACTAATTACTACGCCAATGTCACGTAGAATGGAGAAGACACGAAGGAGATTGGTCGGCCATACAAAACTTATTTTTTCATCAATCAATCAAGTTTTAACAGCTCACAAATAGTGTCAATTGATTGGTGGTGTCAACTACCCAATTATCTACATAAGGGACATTCCACACCAAATCGGACGGTTTCAATTTTTTTATTTTTCTTAATATTTTGATATTTTTAGTACCTCTCAAAAGAGGCTTCCTGATAAATTTTTAGATCTTTTTGATCACTGGTTCAGAACCGCTCTTGTCTTTTGGTCGTAAAAACCGTCGTGTGTATGTATGTTCCATATAACTCAAATTATTATGGACTCCAAAACGGCTGGAACGATTTTGATGAAATTTTCAGTCAATTGTCAGATTAGCTCAGCGGATGGCCCTGTGAAGTAGCTCTTGGTAGCGATATTGTTGGTATTATTGCTACTATGCAATATTATTTATACATTAACTGATTTAATAGGGTCAGCCTTTTACGTAAAATGTTTTCCAGGAAACTCCATGGCGTCTAAGCGTTTGTAAATATCTAACATAGTCGGTCTCTCCTCCCCGCGATATTTGGTGCAGTGGATGCCGATGGAGACGAACTCGTTGCACAATCGCGGGTTCGAATTCAGCGTTCCTATTAGAGCTTTGTCTTCTAATGAGGCTGTTGAAGAAAAAAATAGTATAAAATATATGCAGAATTTATTACTAGTCACTGGTTTTAATGTCTTCTACAATGCCAGTAAAATTATTATTAAACTGACAATCAAAAATGCTTCTTAAGTATAGTACGTTAAAGTGTGTTTTGAGTTGAATGATTAACACTTTGTTTTTTTCTAATTGCCTTAAAGCTTTAATATCCTGCCAATGTAGCAAAGTTTTACAACAGTATGATATACTATTGCCTTGTATAGGATACATTAAAAGGGTCTTATCGTGTTTCCATAATATGAAATCTATACTGGAGTCTGTTTTAACATTGGTGCTTTTATTATGTTGCTATTTATGAGAAATAATTCTTGACCAATTTTTAAAAACCCCTAGCTTTGTTTGTTTTAGAAAAATAGGGATTGAAACCTCTAACTTCAAAATTGTTTTTCTAAAAAAAACTAATATATATGTATGAATAAAACCAAAACAACGTGGTACTAATTAGGTTTACACTACATCTATACTAATATTATAAAGAGGTAAAGTTTGTGATCTTGTGAGTTTGTGAGTTTGTGACGTTGTAGGGGGTAATCTCTGGATCTACTGAACCGATTTTCAAAGTTCTTTTACCAATAGAAAGCCACGTTCTTCCTGAGTGTCATAGGCTATATATTAACCCGAAAAATGAAAAGGCTTTTTCGTGGTAGTCGGATTTGCAAAGTAAGTCGGAGAAAAAACGGTCGAACGAAAACGTTTCTTACGAACGCTGCCTTAACGATGAGAAATATATGATTATGTTCTAGAGAAAAGTTGTAGAGCTTAATAATGCCTACAAAAAAGTCAGCGACAGCATATGTCTAACTTTTATATTTAAGTCACAAAAAGTAGTTTTTATATTAAAAAAATAATTTAAATCGGTAGGTCATGTTTATTGGTCATATTATCAACAATTATGACTTCTTATCAAAATAAGTAAATTTATCGTCTAAAATGTTTAAAATAAAACACTTTTCCCTTTGTACGGGCTAATCTCCGAATCAGTTGGACCGATTTAAATGAAATTTTGCATGGCGGTACCTTATATCCCCGGGCAACATGTTAGATACTTTTCATCCGGGAAAATTAAAGAGTTTCCGTGGGATTGTTAAAAAATTATAACAACTTATACAGCTTAGTACACAAAAACTACTGATTGGATTTTAATGAAACTTTACAATAATATAGTTTATACATGACAAAAACAAATCAGCTAATTTTCATCCCGGAAAATAAAAGAGTTTCCGTGGGACAGTTAAAAACTATAGTAACTTATATAGTTTAGTACACAACAACTTATCCACCTAATTTAGTAAAATTTGGCATGTTGATACCTTATATTGCCGGTTAAACAACAGGTTACTTTTCATCCCGGAAAAATGAACGGTTCCCGTGGGATAGATATGTTTGTGCTTTTCTAGAGGTGAACCCGAGCGAAGCGAGGGTGAGCCGCTAGTAATATATATAGTAATATAGTATACGGAGTCCGCCATATTGGATTTAGAATGACGTCACACAGCTAGCCATGCAATGTTATCCAAACTAAACGTGTATACAAAATTTCAGCTCAATCGGTTGAAGATTATCTGCTTCAAAATTGAGTTGCAAGATTCCACCACTACAAACATACATACATTGCAAGTTATGCAAGTTAAACAAAAGCTTATAATAAAACAATATCCCTCACCAAAGTCCATCATGCCGTGCCTGGCGAGATGGTGTATGTACTCGCTGAGCGCGGGCGCGGCGCGCGCGCGGTCCACGCACGGCAGCGCCGTGGCCACCTCCGCCATCACCACGCCGTAGCTGAACACGTCCACGGCGGGCGACAGGTTGCGCGAGCTCACGTAGTCGCCCGGCAGGTACGGCCGGGTGCCGTTCACTCTACACGATCGAATTACACTTAAGACACCTCCAAGAATTCAATCCAAATATGAATTTAAATTAAAAAAAACATCATTTTGTATTTGTAAAGAATTAGTTCATTTCCCGTTGAAAGAGAGATAGCAATAGTATCTTATTTATTTTATATTTTTTCTTTAGCAATATTTATTTATTAACATTTTATTCATAATCTGTATAACAATCACACACACACACGCGCGCACGCATACAAACACACACACACTTTCGCATTTAAGACGCTATATCCAAAAAGATAAAAATTATACAATGTAATTTGTACCCTATGTATTACTGAATACAGTAAATATTACATTGCTCAATTTTTCAAAAACAATTAACTAAAATGTGTCACACGTAACATACGAAAATCTCCGTGTATATACACTTTAAGTACAACAGACTTACCTAGAAACTTTTAGGTATGCACTATCGTCCCCTTTCCTAGCGAGACCAAAATCCCCTATCTTGGGCATTGTACATTGATCTAGGAGAATATTAGCTGGCTTTATATCCCCATGGATTAATGGTGTTACCTCCATAGTGTGAAGGTATTGTAGGCCTCTGTAAGAAATAAATTAATTAAACATTATCTCTCTCTCTCTTTCTCTCATTATCTCTATCTCCATATCAAAATTCATCTAAATTGGTCCAGCCGATTAAGCGTTTAAAGGTGACTGACAAACAGACAGATTTACTTGCATATTTATAATATTAGTATGGATGATAGCTTACTGGTAAAGTACTTGCTTGAAAAACGAAGTGAAGCGGGTTCAAACCCCATTTTCATTTTATTTTCAACGTTATTGTTTTAAATAAAACGAGAATAAAAGTAAGAAAACAACTGAGCAAAAAAAATAAAGCAAAGTCCTAAGTATTACAAAAATCCACTCAATTTTTTTTAAAAGCAGTTTTAATCATCTAATTTTAATTACATACCTGGCAACACCATGAGCTATCCTGTATCGTTGTGGCCAAGTCAAAGGTTTTTGGCCAGGTTTTATTCTTAACCTTTGCTCTAAAGAGCCACCTGCCATTAATTGATATACTAAACACGCCTCGGGACCTAAGTATTTAAAATATAGTGAATTAGATAACTTTTATTTTCAGTAGTATGCATGTATTTAGACTTTTTAACGTCCCACTGCTGGGCACGGGCCTCCCTTCTATAGGAGGGGGATCAGGGCATAGTCCACCACGCTGGCCGCGCTAGCTTGCGGATTGGCGGACTTCACATGTTTTTCGAAAACTTGCTAGGTTTTCTCAGACATGCAGGTTTCCTCACGATATTTTCTTTCACCGTAAGGCAAGTGGTAATCATGTTATCACGTTGGAAATGATTCGCACATAAAAATATCAGAGGTGCGAGACCCGGGATTGTAATCGATTTCTGTCGATCTTCAGTCGATTTCTGAATCAAGCCCGTTACACTGGGCTACCACTGCCTAATATAATATAAATAAAAGCAAATAAAAAAGTAATAAACAATAAGTAATTCAATTATAATTACAATACTACTATAATTAAGAACATCTGGACCCATTTGGATGGATTATAAAGTACTTAATAAAATCAAATCAAAATAATAAATATACTTTATTCAAATAGACTTTTACATGCACTTTTCACATTTTCAAAAGTTAAATTAAATGTCAGTATGTAAGTCTGTGTGGGAGCTAACACTGGCTCTGAAGTTCGGTTGAGAAGAGAACAACTCAACAGTTGCTCTTTTAAAATAATATTTGTTTCAAATATTGCAAAATAATAGGAATAGGATTTTATGGGGAAAATGTGAAATTTCGAGAAAACAAAAAGTGCTTTATTTTCTACTAATTACTTATATGGTAGCATCGTTGGAAGTACCTTAATATATGATAATGAAATATAAACTATCATTCCTGATGACATAAACCCAATAACCACCTTTCTATGCCGCAGTTGGGTAAATATAAAAAAAATAAACTTACCTCCCAAACTATATCCATACAAAGGTAAAATGTTGTCATGTCTGTACTGATTGAGACACATTTCCCGAATTAATTCTCTATTTTTCCCATCGTTATCACGCAACCTCTTTACGGCTACAGGTAAAAGCTTCCATTCGCCTGCAAAAATTATTTGCTTTATTTAAAATTACTATTACTATTAATTCTTTGTCCTTCAGAAAAGATTTTTCTTTCCCGGGAAAGAAACCTATGTTTGTCATGCTTAAATCTTCTACCGGCTAGTAAAATGTTAACAAATCCATTTCGGAATTTAGTAGGTAAAAATAGACAGACAGATCGAAAAAAAATACAGTTTAAAAAAGTTTTCCCTGGAATGAAACCCATGTTTCCCTTGCCTGAATCTTCTATTGGCTAGTTAAAAGTTAATAAATCCGTTTCCGAATTTACGAGGTAGAAAGGGACAGGCAGACAAAAAAACAGGTTAAATACAAATATACACATAAATATAAACAAGAAAATAAATTAGCAATCTACCTTTAAAAACTTGTCCAAAACCGCCTCGCCCTAACAAGTTCTTTGGACTCCAGTTATTTGTGGCTTCCTTCAAATCCTTATAGCTAAGCATAGGTATTGCCGATGCGTTTCTCAGAATTTCATCCTTTAACTCTTCGGTTCTGTCACTCATCGAATTTGAGTTCTGGAATACAATTGATCGAATGTATTATTTTAGACAAAGAAAAATCCACCCATTAGATGTTAGATAAAGGGTTAGGGTTATATTATGAAGGTCTAATAGCATTATATTAGACACACACACACACCCGCCCACACACATACACCCACACACACACACGCACACATACAGACACAATTGTGTCTTTATTATTGTCACTCTCAGTCCGAAGGGACAATACTTAGACAATCGCTGTGAGAGTTAAGGCGCAGGACCGACGGCTTTACGTGCTCTCCGAGGCACGGGGGTGAAACACCGCCAACTTCCTAACTCCGGACTGTTACTGAGAATATCTTAGCTTAAAAACTCAGTAATTAAACTTGGCCCGATCCGGGACTCGAACCCAGGACTTCTGGATCTGTAGCCGTACATACTAACCGCTAGACCACCGAAGTAGTTAATAAAATTTGAGATACGAACCAAAGCAAAGTGATTGTAAGTCGCTAATGTATCCCTAATAGTGAATTAACATTGCATAGAGTGAGTTAAAAGACTTACATTTGAAGTGTCACTATTAGAATCATCTGTTGGTGAATGTAGTTGAACAGGATTCTGATTTTTTTGTTGCACACCCTATGTAAGAAAAAAAAATCGATTAAAAATCCCAATTCAATTAAAATATTACCTTTATGTAAAAGAAATAATATGTTGAGAGAAAAATAAGAAGTACAACATTGATAATAAATGGAAAAAAATAAATTAAAAATACTAGTATCTCAAGTCAGTTAACAATTATTTAAATAGACTATCATTATCTATCTTGACTTTAATTATGGAACCTAAGAAAATAGGCTTTAAAAAAACCTTTTTAATAAGCACTACAGGAACAGGCAAAAGTTGATCACTGTCTTCAACCTTTTGAGTTTTCTGCTCATTAATCTCACCTGCAATAATTATATATGAAATTATTTAACATAATAATATATATTATATGTATAATAAAGTCCAATGAATAAAAGAAAAATATAAATAAACAAGGGCCAACATCATATACTATATGAGTAAGTATGTATATTTTGTACACTCTGTAGTTCAAATGGTTGAATGATTAATTGAAGGAGTAACATCTGAGGTGTCATGAGAATCATCTGAATTCTGAGTGATAACGGGTTTAATCCCTCCACGATCGCGGACACGCCGTGTCAGTTAACAATAGATTTCATAGAATTTTAATTATTTTCTTAGAAATTTACCTGGAGGTGATTATTATGCAGATTTATGTTTAAGGCATCTTTAGAATTTCATATAATACAAGTTATAACAATATTTTAACAGTTTTTAAAATTTGAAGCAGCACATAAATGAATAGATCTCTAAAGGAACATTTATCCTACTAATATTATATAATATGTAAAGGTTTGTTAGGATGGATGGATGGATGGATGGATGGATGGAACGGCTGAATGGATCTGGATCAAATTTAGTATAGAGGTAGTCTGGAAAAGCACATAGTTTACTTTTTATCCAGAAAAATGTATGGTTCCCGTGGGATAGATATGTTGTTGTCTAGAGACGAACCCGAAGAGAGGGTGAGTCACCAGTATATTACATACATCAAGGTTAATTTGTAAATATACATACATGTCATTTGTTATTTTGTTCAATAGTTTAAATAAGAAGCTTGAGATCATCTTTCAAGGAAAGGTTATGTTTAACATGACATCTTTATTGCTATGGTTCTCAACACTAAAGTTTGTTAGAATATTTCATTAAATATACGAGGATAAATACTGTTATTATCAATAATATTATTAATAATAATAATTGATAGTGTTACGAGAAGTTGTAGTGACAAAATGTTTTTAGTATATATCTTCAATTAAAATATGATAACCCACAGATCAAATTAGGAACCGATATAAATATTATGTTTATATTAAATATAAAAAATATATATTTAATACTAACTGTCCGATGAATGTGGATGTTTCCCTTTTAAATTATTATCATGTTTTAGTAATAGACCATGAAACCTACGATCCACTACTGGCAGTAAAATCCTCAAAGCAGGTACATGTTTCATACGATGCAATAAAACAAAAAGCTCTTCCACTCTATGATTAAGTTGACCCCATTTTCTAAATAATAGATCTGTTGGTGATGAAAACTGTCGTCTTGTGGTTTGTTCTATTTCCTGGAATTTGTTTCAATCTGGGTTACTTTATGGTTAAATACATTATCTTCTCAAGTAATTAACAACACTATAAAAAACTATAGTTTCAATAAGTCTATACTCTTTTTCATATTTATAAATTCAATAACAGATCTTTAGCTAATACATTATCAAAATGAATATTCTAAATATGTAATGTTTCAGAAAATTAGACTAATTTTTTGGCTTTTAATCTATCTTCACTTTTTTATATCAAACTTAGATAGATAAATAATATAAAATTTGGAGAGGCAAAGATGAGATTTTTATATTCATATCACAAATGCATACATAAATATATTTAGGTGAAAATCAAGATAATTTAATGAAACTTAGAATGGTGATAGATAGCTTCAGTCCTGGATTAAAGAGAAGCAATTTTTGTATTATTTGATGCCACGCGAGCGAATCCGCGGGTTAGAAATAGTAAATTTTATTTAATTGAATTTAGAATCTGATCTTTAATGACCTACAACAGATTAGAAATCAAATATATAATATATTTGATGATGGAAAGTAAAAATACATTTAGTACAAATTATTTTTTAACTTATGAATAATGTATAATCAACTATCATCTCATTTCTTAAAATTATAAAGCAGGATTTATATTAAATATGGGAAATTCCTAAATCTTCATGATGGCCCTATATCATTTACGTTTGGGAAAATCCCAATCATGTTAATGAATTGTACATATTATATACTTACATTGACATCAAAAGCTGAATATTTCATAAAATTGCCAGCCAACTCTTTCCAATCATTATCATGGTCCAACAACCTACATAATTCTTTATTAATTTCGAACGGTAACTCGTAAATATACATTTTTAAGTCACGTACACATTTACTAAATAAAATAACATACACAATCTCACACGAATTCCTGCTGACAACAGATTTTTTGACGTAGGTTTAACGCAAAAGCTAGTGGTTTGTCAGTAAGCATGGAAATGATTGCTACTTTTAAATCATTATCACGTGATGAAATTACAACAATTTTTCACGTGATTTCACCTGCTACTTTTCACGCATAGATTTTTGATTTCGACGGTCTGGTGTCACACTTTATATTATTTGCTATTAAAATGAAGTATGAAATGTCACCAATGGCGCTACTGATGTGATATGGAGCAGAGATATAGATCTGACGTAGTTGCATACGTACATGGTGCTTTGAATGAACCTATTTTCAAACAATGAACTTTCCCTCATACTTCTACAGGCTTGGGACTGACAATGTAAAATTAAATGAATTTTAAATATATCAGAGTAATCACACGGTAAAATTGTATTAAGCTAAGTTCCATAATTACATTGGCGTATTTAAAAGTTCATTGTTTTTATGTACAATAAGAATTTTTATAAAAGAATTTTATACACTTTTTTTTTTGTTTTTCTTAATTTTTTTAATTTGTTTATAATCATTTTTTTGCTTTTTGATTTTTTTGATGATTGATTTTTTTATGAGATATCTATACAATAGTCTTCATTGCTTTTTAAAAATACAAGTTCCGCTGTTCGTTTTCTGCTTAATCGTGCTCTTTTTTGGGTTGCAAAATTTTTTTTGAAAATACTCTCTCACACTCCACTGATGTCACCACGATGTGACAGTGCTCATGAAATATTTCCGCCAAATTGGGGTACATATAGGAGTGAGATTTCCACCAAACTAATGGCGAAGAATCGCGCGGAAGCACTGGTTCATTAATAAACATTTCTAGCTCGTTCTCAGCGTTGGTGGTTATGTCTGTACGTATTACACATAATCATTCAGTAAAAATTATAAGTATTTGTTGGATAAAAAACTAAAAATGTGCTCTAAATTTAATTGTTGTTTCTAATTTAAAATTATTTCTAAACAATATTTCTAAGAATCCGAAATCATGCTACTCGAAATAAATAAACTCCCCAATTTACTGATCAACGGTATTAACTGAAAATTGTATTTTGTTGAATAAAAAATCAATAAAAACATCAGTACGAAAATGTATACGGAAAATGCGAGTAACGAAATGCATTCGTGAGTAACGTTTCGGTACTCGATACTAGATGGCGTACCCGTTACTCAATAACGAATACATACAGTTTGCTACAGCTCTAGATTTCACCAAGTTGTGATTTGTAGCAGCCACTATGAATTTAAGTAGCAGGTGTGACGTATGATTATGCATTTCACGTGATTTTTCACTTGCTACTCGTGAAATGTTCCATCCCTATTTGTCAGTTGCCATCTGTCAATGTCACTTTATGTGAAAAAGACAAAAGTATTACCTACTATAACATATATTTTTCGCGAAATTGCCGAAGTAAACTATGCCTAAATGGCAAACCTAGGACCCACTGAAAAAAAAATAGAATTGAATTATTCATGAATTATGTATAATAACCATTCGGAAACGTACGTACGTATATTTATAGAAGAATATTAATTACCACATTAACAGACTTAATTATTTTTGAATTCGAAATTATACATATTTTATGATATAATATTATGATGATGCTGTGCTAATAATTAATATTGAAACTATTTACATGCTCTTTGAATATGATATTCCATCCCATAGACATAGTGAACTGTTTCTTTGGTTGTCAGCTGTCAGCTAAAAATGGCGAGACAGAGACAAAATGAATGTGCGGCCAGAAGTCTTCTGTATTAATTGAAATACGATTATTGGAGATAGATATTTATAACCATTCCATTATCTATACTAATATTAGGAAGAATGCATTTTTTATTAACTTAGAAAAAAAACACGATTTCCAAAAATAGCACTAAAATATAAAAAATAATTGTTTGGTAATCAGATATTTTGGAAGTCGGTGTTGGAAGTTGGTGCCAGAAAAATCAAAGCACACCGTCGGTTTTTATTTTATTTTTTAAAGTTTTTATTATGTCAGTTGTAAAGTAAGAAGAAAGTATTTTTTAATTTCAGTAGGTAAAAAATAAATCACCTCTATTTTCTACACTTCTTTCTACACTTTGTCATTTATTTTTTTTATTATATCAAAACATTGTCATCTTACAATTGGAATTAGCTTTTTAGTCTGAGTGAATAAAAAGTATCGTAGTCAATTACGTCGTTAACTTTTGCGACTCTATGATATACATTGTATATATTATAGTATGTTAGTTTGTAAAAGGTAAAGTATATCTTTTTTAATTCTATTATTTTCAGATTTTTGGAGGAGCGTCTAACATTTACTGAATATGAGAAATGAATTGGTTAATTCCATTCGACAAGCAATGTCGTCATAGCATGCACTATCGTCGTATATGTCGTTATCGCTTTAAAAGCTAAATTTCGACTGCAATGAGAACGCTACCAAACACTGCGGTAGACAGAACCGCGAAATATTATACGAAAATATCATTGCACGTATAATTTATTCGCTTATGAATACCTAATATATTTATTAGGTACCTATCTATAATTAATTTGAAACTTCTTAGGCGAATCCCCACTTACAATTAATGATTTTTAATTTATCCACTACACATTACAAAAATGTTTTTTACTGGACTGTGGCGAAGCTAGAAGAAACGTTTGTGTTTGACCTTTATGTATCTATGTAGGTACATATTTCGTATTTTTGGAATTTCTTTTTCTTCGAAATCTGTGTGTGAGGTATTGTAGGATTCCTAATAAAACTTCGAGATATTCCTTGCTTATATTCTCATATTCAGTACCTTTATGATCGCCAGTGAGTTACATAATTTATATTTTATAACTATAATTTTTAGTACTACAAACATGAAACAATTCGTGACTAGTCACTACGTCACTGCCCACCTGAGCCTAAAGTGCAGTATTAGACATTTTGGTCGGTTTTGAGTTAAATATATATTCTAAATCCCCATTTTAGTAGCTATCAGTCAAATTAATTCTTTTTTCTGTAGCGCTAATAAAAGTATTTTATTTTAATGTTTTTTCGGAAGGTGTAACAGCAAAAATATCACAAATCTGTTAAAATATTCCATGTTTACCAGCTAAACCGCAGTACAATTAATACTGCACAAGATTTTTCTCTGTTTCCTAACTAAACTGCAGTGTTTTATCATATTTTGTGGCACTTAAAATAGTAGTTTGTTCTAGGAGATTCAAGAAAAAACTTATAAAAATGCAGTATTATTCGACTCTATACAAATTGATTATACTGCAAAGGTAAAGAAAAAATATTTTTTATTTATATTCCTAATTAAAGTGCAGTATTAACATTCCATACTGCACATTAACTTGTGGGGGATTTTGTAATAACTTTACTGCAGTTTAACTTGTAGGATGTTTTGTAGTTGCTTGTAAAAGACCATTTAGTTTACAATATTTATAAATTTTACTGCATATTAGTTAGTTTGCTTCATCCAATTCATACTACCTAAAATACTTAAAGTCAAATACTATTCCCTAATATTGCGTTTTAATAGGTAAAATTATTAAAATATTAAAACACAGGACAGGCAATATCGCGGTTTGAGGCAGTCTCCTTAATCTGTGGCTTAAGGCAGACTTGACGTGCCATGCTGTGTCTGTACCAAAGAGATATGGAGGGTAGAACTAAGGAGAACTATTTCTTGTATAAAAAGTGACCGCTGACAAGCATTAAATTGGTGGCGCCACAGAAAACAAGTATATGAATCTATACATCTATACAGATAAATAAAATTGTAGTGTCTGTTTGTAATGTCAAAATAAACCTTTTTACAAAATGCATATGAAATTATATACGGTACTTATAAGAAAAACTAATTTTTAAAATTTTTTGTCTGTCTGTTTGTTCCGAATAATCTCTGAAACGGCTGGACTGTTTTTGACGGACTTTCAGTGGAAGGTAACTGATGTTATAGGGAGTAATATAGGCTACTTTTATTTAAAAAAAAGAATTAGAGTTCCGCTCAAAAAAAAGTATCCAGGGACGAACCCGAGTGAGGCGAGGGTGAGTCGCTAGTTTAAAACATAAAGTCATAAAAGTAAGAAGGTGAATTAAACAAGGAAAGAAAGATTTCCGCTTTGCTGTGGCGCACTTTTCTAAATAGTTCTAGCATAGGCAAACAGCAATATAATTATATATTATTTTCAAGTAATAATAATTCAGCACACTTCACTCCGTTAAAAACTACTAACTTCACATCACATCTACTTGCTACGCTAGTGCTGTAAAGCCTAGTTCGCATTAAGCTAGTATTTTAGTCTAGTAGCGAGTAATTTAGTAGCTAAATTACTCGCTACTCACCAAAACTCGTTCGCACTTTGGTCGAGTACAGTTTACAAGTGAGTGGTGTTTTGAAAGATGAACAGCCTACAACGCAATAAAGTAAATAAACTGATTAAGCTGATCGTAACGGCTATTTTAGAAGAGATGGATGAGGAAATTTGTGTGATTAATAAAAAGAAGCTATGGGTACGAAAATGGATCGAAAGACAAGATAAAGTAGGAGCTACTAATTGTCTTCTGAAGGAATTAGCATTGGAAGATCCCAAAGAATACTTCGATAGTTGTGTAAATTTAGAGAATGTCCGAAAGTTGTGTAAATTTTCTGTTAATGGATGTTATGGCGGCAACTAATGAACTCGACTAATTCGACAGGTTCGTACTTGTTTAGCCGGTGAACCAGTGAGCTCGGACGCGTGGTGGGGGCTGCTACTCGCCCAAAAAAATAGAATAAAATGGATTGACTCGACTAAATTACTTACTAAACTAATCGACTAAATTTTTAGTGTTCAGACACGTTTAGTTACTAAATTACTCGCTACTAGACTAAAATACTAGCTTAATGCGAACTAGGCTTAACGGTGAGTTTCTGAGCTATAATTTGCTGCTCACTA